AAGCAGCCTGAAATCGCGCTCCACGGAGCAACCTTCTCAAGTGTGTGCGAACCTTGGACTCCAGGTTGTTTTTGCACGGTGATGTCTGTTGAACCTTTTGGCTTTGGGGACTCTATCCATGATTTGTCTAGCAGAAGGCTAAATACCTCTCAGGAGGGGAAACTGTTGGGGACATCCAACTGTGTATCTGGACATCTGACTGAGTATCTCCTTTCACCTTGTGAGCCGTAGCTATTCTCCACTCATGAAGGTTCTCAGGTCTGCAAGTGCGAGTTGGATCGTTGTTTGCTCGCTCTGACCGTCATGATTTGGCAGGTCTTGATCTGGAACTTCGACTTGATAAGTCGAGTTTCTGCTACTTACATCTAAGAACAGTATCAGCAAAAGTGGAATCATTCCTAATCTGCAATCTGCAACCACTGCTTTCGCTACATCTTCGCGAACCTTTCGCCTGGTAATCAGGAAACTTTGGATAACATGCTTTGTACTGAAAACCTCTTTCACCAACCCTTTCGCAACAAAATCCTTTCATCGACAATTCAGAGCCTTTCTCCAAACCTTTCGCCAAGCTTTCCCCAACTGCAGTTTTCCTTTCGCAAAGATTCATAATCTTAAGTCCTACCTAAATTCTTTCATAGAGGTTTATGACGGACGTTGCTCACTTAGGTCTTAGTCTTAGGTTCTTTGGCGTGGTGCGATGCGCTGTTGTAGTGCGTTCAAACCACACGTGGGAACCTGGGATGAGGCTGAAAAGTGCCTCCCTGTGCCATGGTGAGTTGTCCAAACTTGCAGTGGCATGGAGGAGGTTTACTTTGAAAAGGATCAAAGGCCGGAGTTCAACTGTCATTGGCGCCCGCGATTCAAAAGAAGCAGCTGTATATAGCTGTATGCTGTATGCGTTCCAAGTGATTCTGCTTTAATCATGCAACTGCCTGATCCCCGGTGTGCATATGGAACAAGGATTCTGGGTGCAATATGGTGCAATGACATTCAATTCCAAGTCCGTCTTGTCATTCCCCCAGTCTGCCCATGAAACTCGCACCTGCAGCACCTTCCCGTCATCGCCGGCAGCATAGATGCATCGACCCATGGATTTCGGCCTTGGCAAAGTCGGGAAACAGCACAAGATGCTGCCGGGAAAAGCAAAAAGGTTTGGGCAAATGTTTGGTTGTGTATGGTTGTGTTTTGCTTCAATGTTTGCTGGGACCAAAGCCTTGCACATGGCAACCCCCAAAAACTCATGCATAGATATGCATAGCAGCCCGTTTGCACTGCAAAGAGTCAAAAACGTAAGTCTTCGGCCTTGAGTGCCTCTGCATGCACAAGAGGTTCCCATTACATTTTGGGCTAGTATTTTTTGACTTATTGCTTGACTTTAGGACCTTAGGACTGCATCTTTTTTGCGTTGTTGAAGCTCTCATGTTCTGCAGCATCTGACAACAAATGGGAGTGTTCGCCCTCGTGCAGCAAGCTTATGCCCAGGACCCACCCACTGCCCCATATCGCCTGAAACCTAATTAGGTTCCCTCAGCTGAGTAGCAAGAGATCGTTGGGCGTGCCGCTGAAACCCAGGCATCGACCAAATAGCTGGGGCCTTGGAATTGTTGGGGCTGTAACAAAAAAACAAGGCAAGCGAATCAGGGGAGTCGAGGACATCTGATCAGGTCTGATCTGATCCAATGAATATAATATCCTTACTCTGCGGGGAGAGGCACCAACTACCACCAGCAAGAAAAAAAGGAACATCCCGACGTTGTGCATCTGAGCCAGTACTAGCAGGTCAAGTGAACCATCATACAAGCTCCAGAATCAAGAAAGTTATATTTATATGATCGCCTTGAGTAGGCTCCGTTAGGCATCTTCAAGCAAATGTTCATGCTTGGCCACATGATGCAGTGCACAGTCAGTAAAATCGAAGAACTGCAGCAATCTTCATGCCCTCGGCCAACCAGTCTCCCGTCCAGGTTGAGCATCCCACCCTGCAAGCTCCTGAGGATTGGTTCAGGTTGAGCCAACCATAAGCATTTTGGGATCTAGCTTGAATCCAGTGCTTTCACGTCCAACAACTGCAAGCCCTGCAAACTGAGTTGAAACTGGCTTGGCAGAACCTATATGTGCGACGATCATGACTCATTTTGTGTGGTAAGGCCAGGGTATCGTTTTTCAGGGATCCCATCGTTTCACACAGTGCGGAGCTTATTTTGGCTAATTCATGATATGTGCATCGAATGCTTGATGGGAAGTCCCTTCGATTGGCTTATTGGCTTTGTTCTCCTGAAAGCTGCGGGCTTGCGTTTACGCCAGCAAAGACACGAGTAGGCAGCACCATAACAGCGGCAACAGCGGCACCCTGCAGCAAGAGCACCCAAACTCCAACACGCACACGGGCACACATCTGGCAGCGGCACCCTGCAGCACCACCAGCAAAAGCGCACGCAACCATACATCTGCCAGCGGCACCCTGCATGGTGCACTCAGGATCCAAAGCTGCATGGTGCACTCAGGCTCCAAAGCGCACAAACACCTGTTCCTATACTTGAACTATATAAAGCCCCCAATAGCTCGCGCTATCTGGATAAAAGTTGTGTTGGGCGACCCTGGATATGGGGTGTTTGTTCCCTATGTTTGATGTTTTCTGGTATTGTTTGGGGTATCCAAAAGCATCGTGTTGGGCATCGTTCTTGCATATCTGCCTTTTTTGCCATAACAAATGAACTTGTTAGCGGGCAATACATACCTGTGAATGAAATCAATCATGCCAGCATAGACCCAAGAAAGCAAAAAATAATCGTGGGCAGCACCCTGCAGCCGCACTCCGCAGGGCAACCCGGTAGCGCCTCCAGCGGTGGCACTCGGGCTTCAAAGCGCACAGGGCCAAAACATGTCGCAGCAGCATCCCAACCCCGTGCAGCGGCACCCTGCAGTGGCACCGGCACCCAGGCTCGAACGGGAACATACACACATGCAGCTCTTCCTATATACTTGAAATAAGAACCCCGATAGCTCACGCTATCCGGGGAATGAACTTGTCTGGTATCGTTTTTCAGGGTTACCATCGTTTTCAAAGAAGAGCACATTCATAGACATTCCATGACGACTTATGCAAAGAACTCTTGATCGCGTGTTTTGGCCCTTGCACATATAGTTCCGCCACCCACAAAAGCAACAGAATAGGAACCGCGGAACCAATGCTCAATGGGCTAATTATATTACTGTATATATACTTTCATTCTTGTGACGTTCTTTGCGGCTTTTCTGTGGTATTTGAAGAGACAAACAAGACCCAGAAGATTCTTGCTGCATGTGACGTGACGTGCTACTGTTGAGGGCCAAGGAACTATATAACAGATTGGGATTAACACATGGGCAGCGGGTGACAGCTTGGACAGAATGCTCAGTTGAAAAGTCCGTACATGATGATCATTACTACTATATAGGAGCAAGAAGCAACTAGTAACAAGTGCATCGCTTCTAGTAACAAGTGCCTTACTATACTAGTAACAAGTTTCAAATAGCTTCTTGTTACTAGTAGTAAAGCACTTGTTACTACTAGTAAGGCACTTGTTTCTAATAAGGAAAACATCAAAATACCGCAAACATCCGCAAACCCTCTCCTGCCCAGATGCACTGAGTTGCATCTCGTTCCGGTCCAGTGTTCCAGACTAAGCGGGTGTGCAACACACTTGAACACATGAAGTGTATTTTATTCATGCCGCTGTTGTGGCATTCTGCCATCTTTGAACTTTCTGCATCACATCTTTGGCTCAGGCCACAAAAACATGCTTTTCCAACCTAGGTCGACTGCATCTGCTATCGAATAACATGCTGTAAGGCATTTCCACTGAAACTGCTTTTGACGAGGTCAATGCTTATCTCCGTAATGTTCACATCTGGTTAGGCGCATGGCAAATGGCGGATGGCCAAAGGCGAAAAACGCAAGATATCAAAGACCACTTGGATTTGCCTTGCAGCTAGTGCAACTAGGTGCAGCAAACTGAAAATGTAAAAATGCAATTACGCAGTTGCTTAGCAAAAGCAAGCTGAGGACTCCAACACTACAGACCAAAGTCGACATAGTCACTGTGTCATCTCTTGATAGAAAATGAATCTGTTGGATTTCCTGAGGATCCTGGCTCGGGGTCAGAGATGTCAAGCAGTTCTAATGGCCAAAGACTCCGCCTCCTAGCAACCACAATCGGGCAAAAGTGTTCATTTGTCGCTCGGAAGCTCCTGCTACCGAGCTATATATAGAGCACGACTACAAGCAAAGCGTGCTGCAAACTGCAAGTATACAGGATCCAAAGAACTCCCATCCTGACTTCGCGCTCAGCATGACTTGACTTAGCTTTTCACGACATTTCAGTCTTCAGCGGCGAAGCTGTGGCTGCCCTAGCCTGTCTGCAACTTCGCTGCTGCCTGTCTTTTCAGCACCGGTGACTGCAAGCCATGACAACACCAATTGTAGCTTATTTCGTCTCTCGATGGTACCCCCGCATGGATCTACCTATATAGTTATTGAACAGTTATTGTATGTGGATGTAAACATAACAAGCCGTAATTATGATGTTGCATTGTAGCTTGCAACACCGTTGAGCATGTCGTACTGCTTCGGCAGCCTCACAACATACATACCCACTAGCTAGCTCCCTCCCTTTGTATCTCTCTCTTGGGCCCCACCTTCCCATCGCCCAACCGACGTCTGTCTTCGCCTTTGTTGATGACAACATGTGCTAAAAACACATGCAAAAAGCAACACGTCAAACGAAGGCTTTTTCCACTTGTATATTTCCTCGAGGAGGTCCTCATCCAAAGCAGTACAGGGGTGAGAGCACTAGAGACAGCGTAACTCCACTGACGGTTTTGGTCGCCACCTTCCAAGGCTCAAGCGATCTGGACTTCTTTAGATCTTCCTTTGCATCACCTACCCATCTTCCATCCTGACAATAGGGCCAACACTCAAAGGTGTGCTCCTGTTCTATAGTTCATCAAAAGCATCAGGAGAACCACACAATATTCTGAACAATTGCTTGCTAAACTGACAGTCAGTCTGCATTCACTGCAGGCACTCAGCTGGACACCTACAATTTTTCAGTCAACCTCTTGAGTACACTCATGTGGTCATAGTATGTCATAGTCATAGGCAAATAATGCCCAGTTTGTGCGACATGGCACAAACAATGGACCGAAGCGTGCAAAAACTACCAACTATATGAATGAAGTAAAAACGACTTTGCAAAGTGGCACCCAGCGCACTACTCCTCAGTGAATCCGCGCACCCTGCTTCCAGCACGAACAACCATGGCCACATAGGCCTTGCCCAGTCAAGCAGTGCATCCAGATAGCTGTAGCATCCAACGTCTGGTGAACAGTTATCTTGGTGATCCACCATACTTCGTGCCTGACATGCAGCTCGGCGATGAAAGGAAAGGGTGCTCTCCTCAGGCTAAAGCAAGAAACCAGGACCCTGACGGATGGCTCGGATGGGCTTCCTGCCCCCCCAGCACGTCCGAAGACTGACTTTGATGGCTGCAGCCGCACCCGGCGTAGGCTGGCGCAGGAATCCAATAAGTCAAGTCAGGTCCTTCAAGTAGATATATAAATCAAAGCTTGACGACAAGGTTGGCTCTTAACACGCGTTTGCAAGTATGATTTTGGACCTTGGTCATAGTCAAATTGAGCAAAGATATGCACTTCAGCGTGCCATAATGGTACCATCCTGTCAAACATGGCGCCAGTCTCTAAGCCAATGGGAGGTCTACTAAAGAAGATGTGAGCAGCAAGGATTGTACTGGGATAGTGATTGATTAGTTCAGACTTTTAACGTGTGGCTCTGCACGAGTTCCAAACATAATATCTATATAGTGGTTGCCTTTCTTCCTTTCTTTAGACTGCATCATACGGGAACGTCCTGGAAACTGGAACAGCACATATCAAATGCGTTGACAAGCTTCTGCTCTCATCTCGTCAAGCAGCACGTTGAGCAAGGTAAGGACCTTACAACCAGTGCGTGCACCATGACTGTGCCTTCTGGATCCTTCACGCATCTCAACCCTGCCATCATCGTAAATCCGGGCATCGCATGAGCCGGGACAAAAGTTGTATGTAAATATTGCTGGTGATGGACGAAAAGCTACCTTTGGTAATCCACCGCGAGGACAAAAAGCTGTAGGTCTTGTCGCATGCACCGAGGCTACATCTTTTACCTTTGAGAACTTTGTTGCGGTGGATCATTAGCGACGGGTGTAATTCCAACAGATGAAACCGGACCCGGCCGCGAGCTAAATCCGCAGAATCCTCTGCAAAAGCCTATTAGAAGGGAGACGTGGAAGGGTCAGCATTCCCTTGACTTCAAGGGCCTCCTGGAATCCACCTCTATATGGTCATGTTAGAACTTACAAACTTGTTGTCTCAAGTGTATGTAGAAGAGCCACCTTCTATATATGTCTATAATCATCTATAATCTGTATATGTCACTTGGCCTGGCTAAAAGGTACATTGCGGTACGCCTCACCAGCAACACTATCAGAAGGTTCACATGATCAACAAAACGCCCGTTGATAAAGACAACAGTTCTCAAAACTGTTGTGATTGTTATATAGTTTAGTAAACTCCCAATTGAAATTCACCCTGAATCAAAGTCTTCTGATTGTGTTACGTGGTGGGCACATGTTAATGGTTAATCACAGGTAGACATTAAGTTCAAGGATTGGTAAGTAAATAGATGTACATAAATAGTCCAGCCTTATCATATATATAACACCTGTTTGAGACATGGAGGCATCAAATCTCTGACTGAGGTGTCGACGTCTCGCTCACGAAGGCCATGTAAACGGTATGAGAGGATGGTGAAGCCTCGCGGACATGCAATCTCACAAGAACTTTTGAATCATGTTTCTGGTGCTGATTCAAGTGCGAGGTTGAGGAGAAGAAATCCCAATTGGTACATCTTGGCAATGCATCTTGACTGGAAGTTCTTGCAAACTCAAACGAGGCAATGGCCTCTCTCTGCCCCTCGAAAAGCGTTGGGGGCCCCGGCCAATGGCTACGTCCGGATGCGAAAACTCCGAGGATGTGCTGGGTGCATCCTGCAACTCACAAGCCTCAACTTGTTGTTTGGTGCGTTTCAAGTTTTAAGACCGAACGTGTTTCAATTACGCTCTTCCAATGTATGTCCAATTGAATACGTCTCGGGTTTCAAAACTACTGCTTTACACAAAAGATTGAAATTTGACGAATCTCCTTGCCAATGAAAGGAACAGCCAAGAGCTTTCGCGACTGCCGCATGAAAGCTCCACGGTGAAGCTCTAGGGTGCGTCCGGTCCTTGAACTAACTCGTGTTGAAAAACTTCCAAGCGCCCCTATATCCCTTTCCACGACAGGATTCCAATTGTTTGTCGAACACTCTTTGGACTGATGGAAAGTTTATTTTGCCCCAGGTCTGTGATGGAATCAATCTTCAAAATCACAAGAAACTACATTGACACAATATGGACAAATTAAAAGGACTAGTATATCAAAACTATTGTACGGTGTTCCTTCCTCAGAATTTGTTTGAATATATTTGAATATGATATGCGCTTTCATTCCTTCCAATATATAAACATGAACCAAGTCCAGCGAAGGGTCAAAAGGCCATAGGATACCCTGTGCACCTTGCTAAGGATGTACGGCCTCGGCCGAACTCGACTGCTGCATGACACGTCCAAGGGCTCTGGCATTGAGATAGGCGCTTTGGCATGGGTGCAACACCATTGAAACAACTTAGAATCAAAACTAAACAACAATTCCCAGGTCACGCGGTGCCGTTGTTTGCTCTTAGATTCTTAGGCCTACGAGCCGCCGCCAAAATAGCAAGGCTGCCTTTCCACTACACCGAGGAAAGTATCCTTTACGCGGGACGTATCTGATCCCGAATGCAAATTTAAAGCATCACCCAAATAACAAACGGTTCGTAAATGCTACCCCTACCTTCTATACTGCTAGAATGCCGCCACGTCATTCTGAAGGGAATCTCTTTAAGCTATATAAGTACCCACCCTCACCACCCACCCATTGGAATCACCACCAGCCGTGCCCCTCACCAGCGACACGCCGCATTCTTATGCACCCAAGCAAATGCACTTTCCACCGAGGTTTCGCCATGCCGTGTGGCATCGTGACATGACCTTTCAAACTTTTTAGTTGTGAGCCTGGACCTTGCTGTCGAGGGCCAGGAGTGCCCACTGCGATCTGGAGCTGGCTGTTGAGGTCCGGGGGCGAGGAGGAGAGAAGGAGCGGCGAGATCCTCTCCTAAAATCGAACACCCCTCACTTGACAGGTGCGAAACAACACGTCCATGTCTCAGGATCTGCTCCTTAGACATTGACGGGACCAACAGCAAGCGCCAGATCCCAGTGGGCGCTACTGGACCTCAACAGAAAGCGAACATACGCAGTGCGCACTGCCGGATCTCAACAGCAAGCTCCAGATCACAGCCAACAGCAAGTACAAAAATCGCAGTTCGCAGTGGGCAAGCGCTAGATCCCAGTGGGCACTACTAGTACCGGACTCAGCAGCAAGCACGGGGGAACTCCCGGCCTCAACAGCAAGCTCCAGACCCGGGCCTCAACAGTAAGCTCCAAATCGCAGTGGGCACTCTCGGACCTCCATTACTTTATATTACATTATATTACTTTACTTCGAGTGCAAACCAAACTTGATGCCAGAACATTGTGTTAATCCGCACGTCTGCCTTGGTTAGGTTAGTCTGTCAATACATGTGCCCTGCCTTTTTCCAAGTTGCCTTTCAGGCTAAAAATCACTCCAAGTAGAGTAACTTTAGTCATATAGTGTGTGTTTTGGTGAGTATGTCACACAAACAGCAAATGCAAAGGGAATATCCATGTTGAAGCCTTCTTAGCACTCATAAAAGAATGTTAAATTTGAAGCTTCAATCATTCTAAATAACTGTTGAAATCTTTAAGCACATACAAATAAAATGAATATATACATGTTTGCAATAATGTTGATAAACAGAAGGCATGCTTGTGTATGGTGAGCAACCATGGTACGATCAAAACATTCAATCTTGATTATATATATATAACTATGTATATAGTATATAGATTGTTTTTCTTGTTGTTGAACCTCCTCATCTGGATGACACTTTGGACGGTGTGGCAAGTCTTGAGCACAAGAACATAAATAAAAAGTGCACTACCACAGCCCCGAGCTCTCCAGGTGGAAGGGATTAGACTACCTAGCCTGTCAACCCCACAAGATTCATGATGGTGCAAAGTGCAACCCCTATTGTTCCTACACTGTTTATCATCCAGCAACCTGCACCTGCTTCTGAAGCTCTGACATCAAGTGATGAAGCCACGTCAGGGTCAGATTCAGCGCTCTAATGGCATGCCTCGCACGTGTCACGAGGATCAGTCCAGGATCAGGTACCAAACTGCGTCTCCTTTTGCTCCAAAAATGGTAACCCCCGGCCCTCCATTGTTCCATAAGTTTCTAGTAAAAAAACATGAACCCCGGTTCAAGTGTAATGCCCCGAATCAGTGTAAACCCGCCGAAACCAACTGTGTTTCCCCACGCACTTGCATTGCACAGGAGCTGCTGTGTCCGCGCATCACCACCTCAACAGCTTGAGACACTTCATGGTCAGTGCTGGCAGGCAAGTCGGACTGATTGAACTCCACAAATTAATGGACATTGAAGCCTACCCACAGGTCCTACAGCTTTCAAAAGCCACCATGCAAGCAACCAGCGCCAAAACGACAATTAGTAACCCACACCGACGGTACAATCCCCCGACATTCTTCATTCTTGGCAACTTGGAAATGCTCTCCAAGAGCAATGCAGTGGCTTTTCGAGGAAAACACTGGAAAACAGTGGTTGTGTTGGACTTGACCCCAAGACCTCGCCGCCCAAACATGCCTACTGTTACGACCCCAATTGTAATTCAATTCAACCCCCCCACAGCATACGACGAAACTTTGCCTGAATATCTTATTAATCTGAATAACGTGTATGCTCTCATCGCCTCTGCAAAATGCTGGGGGTGCTCAACCCAAAACACTCAGCTGCCCCACTCCCCTGCCGCAGCAAAGATCGGAGATCACTGGGCAAAAGTGCCCCCTGGCAATTTGCCCATCAAAAGCCACATATTCCTGTGATACTATGTGGCCACCGATGCTACTGGAGGTGGAAATGACAGATGGATCAAACTGACCAATCTAGAGATGTGATGTAGAATTCCCAAATGGGGGGTCCCTTAGATACCTCAGACCGTCGATACCTCCAGGAATACTTATCTATTATTCCTGGAGGGTTGAACATCGATTTGGATAATTATTCCACAGGGTGGGAACCTCCTAGAATAATTTCTGGCATCTTAACATAATTTAATAATCCTATAGGTTTAGGTAAATAGTCCAAGATGTCACGACATCACTCTTGGAAAGCTTTGAAGCAGCGTGCAATCTTGAACAGAAACAACTTGACACACATCCAAGTCTCTCTCAAAATATTCCAGCAGTATGTGACCTCTAGATTACATATGGAATATATTTTGTAAACTGACCAATCCCCAGTCTCTTCACCTAATGTACTGCCAAAATCTGTTGGATCCATTTCAATATATGTATTTGAATCAAAAATCAAACATCCCAAGCTCATATCCAAAAGCTTATTGTGTCCAAGAGTTTCTTTCTGCATTCAAAAAGACGACATCGATTGATATTGACTGTTTTGATTCGACTTATTAATTTACCTCTATTTGGTATGGACCCCTCTGGATCCCTCTGAGATGATCGCTCAGTTTGGACAGCGCTTTAACATATTTATACCTTAAACAATTATTCCACGACAAGCTCCACGGTGGGGTATGGCATACTGCATGGAAAAATATTCCAGAAAAAATATTCCAGCAAAAATATTCCAATACGTAAGGGTATGCCTGGAATAATTTCCCAAGGCACCCCCCATATTCCCAACAATGCAAATCAAAACCAACCAACGCGCAAACACAACTCAAAGCGTGGGCTTTGGGTGTGCCTCCAAATGCTCATCAACAAAAAGGGCTGCCCAATCCTGGCAGGCACCAAGTGCCACGATATATGGGCAGCACTCACCATGCGCACTCTGAGGCTAGAGCACACAAGTGCGGCAGCATCTCCTGAGCTCAGGTGGCTGAAGGGCTAATGGCTAGTGAGCGGTTAGTGAGCAAACTGCCAGATATACAAATGCAAAGCCATCAATGGCCTTCACATAAAAGTCCCTCGAGAGAAGAACGAAATGTGGAGTGACCTGTGAGCGCAGGAGGTCTGGTCCAGTCAAAACGGAAACTTTGCAAACCGACACAGCTAGGGCAGAAGTGAAAGTCCTCGTTTTTTCAGGCTTTAGCTTTAGTACAGTTCACCATGGAAAACAAGGTTTCAAGAAATCCTAGGGAGTCCTTGCTTCTACCTTTTCCCGAATGAACATGAAATTCAATGTTTTCACCACTTGCAATCTTCCATTTGCATCTTGCAATAAACAATGTGGTGAAAATGTAAAACGATACAAATTCAGCATTCGCATGCATTCGCATAAATAAGTTTCTGGAAAAACTACGGTTTCCTACAGTTGGGTTCTGCAAATAAATCTGACTATTCTGTTGCAGTGTATATAAACAGCAGTGAAGGAATGCGTGTTATCTCCTCTCAGTCGGGCAGCCTTAACAGATTGAATGCCCTTCAAGCGGGCAACCACAAACGGAACCCACACGTGAACAAAACCCTGCTGGAACAAAGAACATTTAAATTCTGGTGCCCGGCCTGCACCTTTAGAGTCTTCCGTCCTTGCTTGATCTTCTCTGCTAGTGCCTGCCCAGGCTACTAGCCGTATCAGGAAATCAAACCCTATCAAATGCAGTCAAAACATGTCAAAACCTTTCATTGTCTCACACATCTACGTCCACCGTTTGGCTCTCTTCCTGACTTCTTAAGCTCTGATCAAGTCTCAATAGGCTCTGTCTTGAGACACTAATCCACTAACCACCGCTCAAATAACGACATCTTGCGCATCATGCTGAAGTGCCCTACTAGGCGCACCCCCAAGGCTGACTGCGCTTCGCGGCCTGCGCCGTGGCAAGTTCTCAGAACCAATTGCAATGTGTTCAACATCCAAGTTGGTCGCAAGGACGCAGTCCCCTGCCCTGGAATTTTGCAACTGCAGTACCGTCACCATGGTTCTGGGCAAAGTAATGTTTGATCTTAATTAGTAAGCGATCCCCCCTAGCAAACAATCCAGGGGGTCTGAAGACTATCACCGCCACAATAAGAAGAAGAAAAAAGTAGTAGAAGTAGTAGTAGTGGTAGTAGTAGCAGTGGTAGTGGTAGTGGTAGTAGTAGTGGTAGTAGAAGTAGTAGTAGTAGTAGTATTAGTAGTAGTAGTAGTAGTCGTAGCAGTAGTAGTTTAGTAGTTTAGTCGTTTAGTAGTTTAGTAGTAGTAGTAGTAGAAAAAGTAGTAGTAGTGGTAGTAGTGGTAGTAGTAGTAGTAGTGGTAGTAGTAGTAGTAGTGGTAGTGGTAGTGGTAGTAGTAGTGGTAGTAGTAGTGGTAGTAGTAGTGGAAGTGGAAGTAGTAGTAGTAGTAGTAGTAGTAGTTGTAGTTGTTGTTGTTTAGTAGTTTAGTGGTTTAGTGGTTTATTATTATCTTTATTACTAGCAGTAGTAGTAGTAGTAGTAGTAGTGGTAGTGGTAGTAGTAGTAGTGGTGGTAGTAGTGGTAGTGGTAGTAGTAGTCGTCGTCGTAGTGGTAGTGGTAGTGGTAGTGGAAGTAGTGGTAGTGGAAGTGGAAGTGGAAGTAGTAGTAGTAGTAGTAGTAGTAGCAATAGTAGTAGTAGTAGTAGTAGCAGTAGTAGGAGGAGGAGGAGGAGTGGCAGGAGTAGTAGGAGTAGTAGTAGTAGTAGTGGTAGTGGTAGTAGTAGTAGCAGTAGTAGTCGTCGTAGTAGTAGAAGAGATAAGTATATAAGGATTTCAAAGGGCAGCAATAGCAGAACAATAATAAAGTTAGGATTTTTTCCCGTAGGGCTCCAAGTTTGCTTATTAGTCCCACCCCCTAAACAATACTATTCAATAACCCTGGGCTTGTGTACCACCCCCTTGAAAAATTGTTTGGAGCAATGAAATCGTTGAGTTTTAATAAGCGCTTTTGAAAACGACTTTCAGGTCAGAATTTCATGAATCAAGCAAACCTCAGGAGAGTTAAGTAAGGATGTTAAAGGGTGAACAATAGCAGAACAATAGAACAAAAACAAATCTCAAAAAAAACACTGGGTGAAAACACATTTTATTATTCCGACCCATTAAACTAATCAGTTTGTGTGTGAATAATTTGGCGAAACACCTTTCATTATTCCTTCCCATTACACTAATTAGGATACAACATGACCATATGTTTCGTCAGGAAATCTCAACTGGGTCCACGAACGATTGGATGGCGCAGTCTCCGCACATCCAGTCGCCTATGCAGAATCTGTGCCCAGAATCTCACTTTGAGACATAGAGACAAAAAACAACGCGTGCAAACACATCTTTATCACAAAAACGGTTTGCAGGTGTATAATTGTGTATGTATACACTATGTAACATATTGTTCATCTATTGTGCTATAACCTAGGAGTGGTATGTGATTTACCTGTTGTGAAAATTATCAGGTCCTGCTGGGAGCCATCTCAAAATTCAGGACATCGTTGGGCAATTTCAACTTGCGACTGCCTACAGTACCCTTCATGATTTCACCGTCACCAATTCTGCTGAACTATCCGGCCGCTGCAAAGACTGCGTCCAGCAAGTCAAAGGGCAGCGTATAGCGGAAGCCAAACCTGGTGCAGGCATCAGCACTAAATCACATAGAACTTAGCCAAGGAGACAGTGAAGTACTAGTGCTTGTGGGCACCACATATCCCATTGTGTCTATATACATATGTGTATACAGTGCAGTTTAGTTTAAGCTAGTTGTATTTATGCATTTGGCAAACAGAAGCCGGGATCTTTGTCCTTTTTGTCTTAGCCACTTGTGCGGCATTTGTGTTGAATGTTTGTGTTTCTTGTCTACGACCATTAGTGTCAATTTAGCAAGCTGCTCAATTGTGGATGCACTGACCATGACCATCACTAGCCAAAATGCCCAAACCAATCCAAACCTGTATCTTGTCAAACTAGTAGTATATATTTTTTTTTCCAGGCCGTTGGGTCGAATTTCTTGTCAAAGTTGTCATAACGGGTTGTGCCGTCCGAAGTAACAAACAAAGTGGCATCCCCCCCACACCAACCCAGCAGATCCAGCAGGTGCAGGCTCGAACAAGGTTTCTCAACTGTTGCCATTTTTGAGGTACTAAGGGCCCTCCATGAGAAGCTCTCGAAAACGACATCGTTTGAGAAACATTGATTCCAGATTTCTTGAGTGAGTACCTCTTTTGAGTCAAAACGGCCACTCCTAGATGAATTGCCGAAGTTGGCCGAACAGTTTCTCCAGGGTAAATCTCAAAATGTCAAACTCCATGCACCATCCACTTTGAACCCCTTTTTTGAACATCGCTTCTTGCTTGAAATCTGTGGACTCGAGAGACTTGGACTTCCAAACACATCTAAGTTGGAAAATCGTCTTTGACCAATTCTGGTTGTTTGAGGATGCATGGTTACATTGGTGGAACTGCTGGTGAATCCGGATTTAGGGGCTACAAACAATCCGAGAATGGCACTAAACTCAACATTGCGCCTGACAACACTCCCCATGTTCTGTGCATACAAGGGTGAACACGGCATGTTTCCTGTGCCTATTCAAGAAGTACAAGGCCCCTACATAGATCTGGCACCCACACTCCCATTCTGAATAAAACCATCCCAATGGAACTAATGTTGTGCTGTCCGAAATAACCGCTTGGCACTTGGCACCCGTGATATTGCACCTGTGTGTCAAATTGCGCCCTGGTCCTGCGTGGAGGCTCAAGCTGGAGGAGGTTTGCAACACCTTGGATTTCCTGCAGAGTGACCTATGAGCTGCTCTATTTGATTAGATCTACAGTATTAGATACTCTATTATATATATATATTAGTATATACACACACTATATCTACAGTTACAGAAATCGCGTAGAAGCTTAGCACCGCTATGTGCATTTAATGCTCACATCCACCCCTCTCCACTCAAGCTAAGGACCTTCAAGATCTCAAAGGTTCGCCCATCTGCTTGATGTCTGTCATTTCATCTTGCTGTCGCATGTGCCGCGCCTGTCATGTCCAGGGGGTACCTTCGGCCAAGCCTGCAACCACTGCATTTGGCAATTGATGCAAGTGGCATGTTAGGCTGAGCTGCACCAAATCAACAGTGCTTGTGGCACCACCTGCTCGCTAAATGAGTCTCCATGACGGTCCATGACCCGCATGATTCATGATCAATTCCTCGGCCCCTCCGGCTACCTGCAAGTGCACTGGCTGCATTGCTGCATTGGCTAAAGGGTAACAATGTTGTCTAAATAACAATCTCTCATTGCTGGTTCACAAGGTGCATGGCGGGCGTGGTGGATGACCTGCACACCGCCATCAGCCATCCTGCAACTTTTAGGTCGTCTTAGCAAAAGCCCAACCGTGCCCAACCTACTGGAGGAACCTGCTGCTCATGCTGCGTCCATTTCCAACCAGGCTATCTCCCCAGCAGTTAGCCTGGCTAAATAAATATAGAAATATATAATATTGTACATTAAAACAATATTCAGTATCTCTATGTATGTTGTATACTGATAAAGTTTCATTCTACCTCCTATCAAGCTGAGGCCCCCCGCGGCCAGTTGAGCTCACTCCTCAAGGGATCAAGAAGCAAATCCACCTGGCAACGCCCCTGGTGAGTCTGGCCCAAAACTGAACAAAATGATGAAAATGGACCCAGGTGCTTCTCGCTTTCCTGCTCCAGTATCAAGCAACCTTTCCGCCAAGGCCAGGGGAAGCGATCACTAACAGTTTGCTCTTGCGCCTACCAATGTAGGCATGGAAATGAATTCTAGTAACTAAGCGAGGGTATTTCATGTGAATCTTTGGTGGTGACGGGTGCGGTACATGCTTGACGGAACTTTGGCTAACCCCACTGACAAGAATCCTGACATCAGCCCCCTCAGCCTCGTCGAGCAACATTACACCTCCGTGAAAAAGACTGAGAATCGCACCACAAATACCTCAATCAGCTGTCGAATGCTGTCGACATATGTTGTTGGAGCAAAGTCCTTTCTAAGCTGGATATCCTCCCACGTTCTCAGTCCCATGTTCGGTTGTAAGTTGTTGTTTCCTTCCGTCAGTCCTTGCAGCCCGTGCTGTCTCTTCCAACCATCTGTGATCTGTCAAGTCAAGCTGCATTGATTGTCAGCTTTGGCATTGGCATCATTGGCATCACATCTAATCTATATATATATATATAATCTAGGATCAACATCCTGGCAGGCCCAGGGGGTTTTACGCAAACTAACTACTGAGCTCGCAGCGGACTTCTTCGACTTTGCCTTCCTCCTGTTTTGGGCATGCTTATTTCTAAAACCATTCAATTCTTCTCCCTGAGTGGAATGTTACTGTTGGCCTGTTGGCCGAGTCCATTTCAATAGCCCAGTCCCAATGCCACCACCGTTGCCTATCCACTTCCCCAAAACAAACATATATATATATTATATATATATATAAGTTTGCTCTCCCACTGGCATCCCTGGCCGCTGTCCTTCCGTGGTGATTGTGGAGCTGGCCCACTTCGATTGGATCCTGGTTCTTCATCAGATGCCTTGGCTCTGCTAACACGGCACATTTAATCTTGGACTACTCAAACTGCAAATGTGACTTCTTTCTGGAATTATTGTGATCTTCTGCAAACACAAAGTGCACACAAATGCAAGCGGAATCAAGCGGATTCGATTGATTGTACATAATCCAGCATCAAAACAAGGAACTGAATGCAAATGAATCAAAATTGGAAGCTTGGCTTTGGCATTAGTGTTTATTACTTATCCGAAGTTATTGGATGAGAACACTCACCAGGAAGCTCAAAGCCCATTCCATGAGTGTTGACTTCCTGTTTGACCTGTTCCTTCCTCTCCAAACCAGGAGGCATTGGACAGCCAGGATGGGAAACGTAGCCACGAGCCCTGTCGCAGAGTGTTTGCTTGTTTCGCCCCTCGTCTAAGGGCTCCAATGGAGCCCTAAGGCCTCTTATTCAGGCTGGAGGCAAAACGTCCATGATTGATGTTGTTCATTCTGTATAGGAGTGGTGCTGGTAGTATTCAAAGTGACTGTGACTTACAGATCTCGGGCATTTTATTGCATTCTCTTGTTACTTGTTTCTGTATGCGTCTCATTCGTCCCAAAATCGAGGTCCCGGATTTTTGGAGGTTTCTGGAGGCCTTCTGCGACTCAGCGGAGGTGCTCCGCCGGAGCTTCTGAAGTTGATGGATCCTTGCACTCAAGGCCCTCAAACCTACCATGACTACACTCTCGGGACTCTGGGGTGGTAACAAATCAAACAGAACCAGGGAGTGAACATAGGAACAGGCTGATTGCCCATCAGAGTCAAATCGAATCGCTTGTGTTCGTGTCATTGCTGGATCGCCAAGTCTGAAAACCACTCTGAAAACCGTGGTAAGGCTGCCAGGTATTTGTGCAAAAGCGTGGGATGACTGGAGACAAATGCTTGCATTTGGTCCCTCATATGTAGATGTGCATATATATATATATATACACACCAAATACATACATATACATATATATATATATGTATATGTATATATGTGTACTGTACATGTATCTAAGTGCAACAATGTTTGGCAAGTGACCTTGCCCTTTCTACATGTTGCCAAGTCAAGTCATACAGTTTGGAGCATGGATTGCCAATTAGCCAAAATATGGCTCCGAAATTGTGTCCTTTGCACCCGGAGTGTAAGCCTATGATGGATACATATATATATATTGTTATTTATTTATTTTAGACTCTGACAATATACAAAGGCATTGCCACATAAAGACCTATGTCACAACTTCATCAAGCAAGTAAGGCTCAAAGAGGATTGTTGGAGAGAGTCTGGAACAAAAGAGTTGCAGCACTTCTTTAGAAGATGGGTGACCTTGCTTGACGCGTTGAGTTGCCAAAGGGATGTCACAACGAGTCTGGTCTGGGCCCAAGGGCTCCAAGAGCAGTTCAATTCTTCTGAGCAGGATGCTCTTGACCTGAAGCACATCAGTCGAGTGTTGTGGCCAAGCCCAGTTTCTAACCAGGCGATTGAAGCCACAGTCTGCGACGAACGGCCAACGTATATTGGCTTTAGGCTTTTTTCTTTGGGTGGGCCCTCGGGGCTAAGCAACAGGCAGAATTTGGAGCTGCAATCACTGCTGCCTGCTGTCGGACTCAAGCAAGCAAGTCATGCAAGTGAGTCAACTCCTTCCGACCCTGCATTGGACGCCAAGCTGTTTGCTTGGGAGCATGACAAACAGTCTCGGGCATGTTTCAGAATCTTTCAGATAGAGGCATCAACCGAAACATGCAACATATCGGCATAAACAAACCAAAACATGACCCCAGTGCCTTGCCACGCTGCGCGGCCTCCAACTTGCAAAGCAATGCCTGTGTGGCTTGAACCTGCAGCAAAGTCTCCCACTTGTGTGAGGGTGCCTAGGATTGGACACTTTGAGCCCCTGAGGCAGCACAACACGAGATGTTTTAGCGCTGTGACTTACCTAAACATGACTCTTTTTGATGTGGAGGGTGGGCAAATAATCCTCACAACCACCTGCTGGCTCTGCAACCAGTGGCCTTCAACCGTAAGGCACACCTTTTTGCAGAGGAGCCGAAGCAAGCGTTGGTACAAAAGCAACAGAAGACTACATGGCCGACTGGCCGACAGGTCGTCTCTGCATATAATGATTGGTCCAAATTGCCTCCAGGCAGTACGCAACAAAACATTGATAAAGCAGCCTTATATAATTGACATACAGATATACATTTATATATTATATACATATATATATAGAGAGAGAGTGAGTGAGACGAGTTTCACCGTGGGGGTTCCTAACCTTCAAACCGTCGACCCTCAAACAAAAAACGGTGTGGCTTTCTGCCTAGCTCACGGGAGGCAAATCCTAATTTGGTCGGCTGATGCCAAACTTCCAGAATATTGTCGAGACATATCAAAATTCCATTACTGCTCGCAACTGCCCGTAACCAACCAGGTGGTGCAAAAAACAATGATCGCCAGTTCTGGTTCCTGTGAACAAATGTGAACCCATCTCAGAATATGATGTGCTCCACAGGTTTGCCTGCCGATGGAACTCCAGCGTGAGCACTGGCCTGACATGAAAGTCATTTAAACGAAATTGTGTGCATTTGATCCAGTCTGCAAAACCAAATGCACAAGAGTCATCAAGATTCTATCTGAGAATGCTGAAAGAATAGAAGTCCATTAATCCTGAAGTCCTCTGGCAAAAACTCCTACGCACAACCTGACGGCGCCTGGGAAGAACTGGCGAAGAGAAACGCTCCGCGAGCACTGCACGAGACCTCAGAACTCAGACTTCTTCGTACCACTGGCCTCAAACAATACTTCTAGGTCAAGGAGTCACAGCACCAGGAGACGGCGCAAACACGTTGTCGATGCCAAGGATCTCACATATCAAGTAACGCAGCTGGCATGCAGGCGCACACCAACCTCCCACAAGAATTGGAAGCTGGTTGAACAAGATGCAGCCTATTGTTCGAGTCCAGTCCAACATGTCCCAACTGTTGATGGTACAAACAACTATATAACTGACTGATTCCACCTCGATTTCACTTGGAAGGACTGGCTTCTGAACCTTGCCACAGTTTGTTGAGAATCTAAAACCCCAGTCACTGCCTATCGCCTACCCATTAGCCCCTTCAAAGAGCTTCCTACAGTGAGCGTGCGTGCTGGTTCCAAGATGTCGCAAGTGTCCAAACTGCCAACCTGGTAGTATCAGCCAGAAGGAGCACAAGCACCGGAGCAATGACAGTAGTCTTCCCTTCACCCATGAGCATCTGCTGGCACCTAGGGCAGTTGGCCAATAGCCCTAATGACCAGGCACCTTTGCACGAATCTGCAGAAAATAGATCTCTGTCTTAAGACACGGTCGTTGATACATGCTTGGTGGTTGATCTATATAATATATATAAATATATATATATATCCTTTCTTACGGAAACACAATTCTTCTCGATAAATCAACATAAACTCTCGCACACACCATGAAAGGCTCTCAAAGAACCTTTTAATCAACTACCACTTGTTGTATCTTGCTGCTGTTGCTTCTCAAAACTAGCACTGGAAACCAAGCTGGTTCCGAGGACTCGGCACGGACTGCCCAGCCTGAAAGCTTGCTCTCATCCCCTGTTTTGCTTCTTTCTCTCTCCCTCTCTCTCCCTCTCTCTCTCTCTCTCTTATGTGATCGTTCTATACATTTGTCCTTCCCTGTTTCTGCTCCCACTCCCCCTCCCTTGCTTCCCTCGCTTCCGACATTGTCCTCCATCGCCCGTCTTGCATTCTCCATTTCTTCCTTCCCCATTCCTCCCTTCATCTGTTCCTCTCGGCTCTTGTAGTGTGAGCATGCACCACTCTCTTAGAACTGCAAATCAATCTTCACCCTAACGTAGGGGACTGACGAGGAACGCGCAAGCACAAGTGTTGCATCATGCGTGTACCTCTCTTCAAAACAGCCTTTGCCAGGATCGGGGCTAAATTTCACGGTGTTTCGGTTGACCCTGCCTGGGCAGTTGCTATGAAAGCCTTGATCAAATCGACCTGGCCATGGTGGCAGCCCGAGCTGAAATGCAAGTCATAGGGCCCTTTTGAAATGGCTTCAGTCTGGAGTCCTAGGTTTTGATGCTGATGGGTCACTGTGAGTTAATACTGTTTCATCTTTCGTCGTGACTCTCGGATCTCTTTTTTGGTCTTGTAAGAGTTATTCCTCTTACAATAAGTTGCTCACAACTGGGTTTCATACATTATCATTATCATATATACTCATCTTACAAACAAGGAAGCAGGATGGCGGCAATCACTGGCAAAAGGGGAACACGAAGAAGATAAATAACATCGGAAAACCGTCAGCTTTTTAGTTCTCCAAGATATTTCAAGCATATTGGGAAGGGTCAACGGAACCAAATATGATATGTCATGTAAGACCTACTGGGCCAATAGAAAAGACTAGGAACTACTTGTGTTGAGGGGACAGGAGGAGCTAACAAAACCAGATTGTATGTATATATGTATATATCGATGTGTGTGTGTTTCAGCAATGAAAAGCTGATTAAAAGGCCGAAGGGAAAAAAGCAATTTTCTACTTAGGGAAGTGGCGAATTGAAGAACTCTATGCATCGTAGTGTAGGCAAAAAGAAGTCCAAATGACACGGACTTAGGCAATTCGTCTTTGAGTTTGGCTGGCACCTTGTCAAAACCAAACACACAAAAAACCAGAAGCTTAAGGAGGATGACAAGAAAATCAAAAGACACATATTAAGTAATCGTTTATTGCCTGAATAAACGCTCTTGGTGTAGCTCATTACATTCTTGAGCATTGCTTTCCATTATTTGGATATTAATGTTTCTTAGGAATGGTAACATCTAAGAATAGAAAGAGCTGAGCACAACAAGTTGACCAAGCAAAAGACTTTGTGAAGATTGGACCAGCTTTTTTGGTGCACTATTTTCAAACACATGTAAAAATGTAGACAAGCCTGAAAGAATTGTATTAAAAAAACAGGAGCAATAGAGGGGAGTGTTGAGGGGGTAGGACCGGGCAGGAAGAGTTAAAGGAACATCTGTTGTAAATCAATGGCATCAGCAGTGAAAGAACGGAAGAAGAGGAACAAAAGCTAATCTCACACTTACGAATAGGCGGCAAAAGAGTGTTAAAAAAAACAATCCACTGTTTGAGTTACGGGAATTGCACAGTTAAGCAGCGGAATGGCCACCAAGAAAACAATGAATTACAAAGCAACTTAAAACAAAAATGCCAAAACAAATCAAGAAAAACAAGTCAATGGATTGACCTGGTCTAAATCATAGGTGTGTTTTCTTTTGAGTCTGTTTGTTGTGGTTTGGCTTCAACACAGTCGGAGATGGAGTCCAACCCTCAGATTGCAAACACCTGGGTAAAAAACAAAAAACTAATGTAATTACACTTGCTGAAGATATGGTATTGGGTCCAAGGGTTTTGATCGTGTTTTTTGGGGATGTCCCGCATCTCCACATCTGAGCTGAAGTTCAGTTCAACCCTCAGCTTGCAAACTATTAAAGCAAAACCAACTGAAAAACAAGGGGACACGTGTGGAACATATGGAGTTGGGTCAATAGTAATATAAAATAGTTTTGTCATGCTTGTTCTTCTTTTGTTACTGAACTGCAAAGCACAGCGCCAAGCTAACAAACTGCACAGCAAACATCGCAAATAGTTCTAAATCAATGTAAATAGAATATATATATATATATCCATATATATGGTTATACTGCACTTAAAACAGATACTGTCATATACTTGGCGAACCTTTGTGAACTGGAGGACATCTTTTGGAAGTGGGTGAAATGCTCCCCTCTGGAAGCCCCACGGGTGATGGATGTCACCTGTTCACTGGGCCAAGAACAAGGCTAGCGCATGCTAGTGCGTAGTTCTACGCAATCACGATGTCCGTGGATACTGACTACCCGCACTTGTGCCTGAGACTTGCGAAGCATGATGTTGCAAAGGAACTCGAACACCAGGAGTCGCGGATCGTATAGATTTGCTTTACCTGCGCAGTTGAAGAATGTAAGCTCCACACGGTTCACTGGCAGCCCAACAGGCAATGCATAATTCAATTGTACGTAGGAGATTGAACATGAACATGTTGCTTATTAATGCTTAACAGGTAATTCACATATATCCACGTGCTCCTTTCTTCTAACAGCTTTGTTTGCAATGTGAGCGGTGTCAAAAACCATCCGGAACTTTTATTAAGATTATAACAACCTTTCGCCAATCCCTTCGCAACGCTTTCGCGGCTGCATGTTTTGCTTTCGCCGACCCACTTCACCCGACAACCTCTTTAGCTAACCCTTTCGCCGAGTTTCTGCTACTTACATCTAAGAAAAGTATCAGCAAAGGGGAATCATTCCTAATCTGCAACCACTGCTTTCGCCACATCTTCGCGAACCTTTCGCCAACCTTTCGCCTGGTTATCAGGAATCTTTGGATGACATGCTTTGTACTGAAAACCTCTTCGCCAACCCTTTCGCAACAAAATCCATTCATCAAAAAATCAGAGCCTTTCTCCAAACCTTTCGCCAAGCTTTCCCCAACTGCAGTTTTCCTTTCGCACAGATTCATAATCTTAAGTCCTACCTAAATTCTTTCATAGAGGTTTATGACGTTGCTCATGTGTTGTTCATACGTCCAAATTTCTCTTTTTGGGCGCCTGACTGCCAAATGAGATGTCGCTCTTCGCCTGGAGCGGTGGTCATAAGGCCCCTAAACAAGTTAAGGCTTTTGACTTGAAATGCAAACCAAAAAAGCCTGCACGGCAATTGTTCACACGGCTCATAGATTTATTAATAGATATCACGCGTTGCCGGGCCTAGCTGCAACGCAACCTTGGCTGCAGGCACTCGATCTTGTGCAAGAATTCACCCATTACGCATCCCTTGCCCAGGACGGGTATGAAGGGAGTAACGCGGCGTTACATCTCGTGGTACCTGGCAATTACCTTGCAAAGCATGCATGCAATTGAATTTGTCTACAGTAATTTTTGAAGGCACACTCACGAATGAATCACTGATCATCTGGGATTGCTCGGACATACATAATTTGTATACCATGAATTATTCATTACTATACCAAGGAACCTTCCAATGGCTTGCGCAAGGTTTTGAAAGAGTTGGAGGAAACCACTGACAATTCTAAAGATCATTTGTGTGAAGTGGGTGGGTTGATGGGAGTCTTTCAAGGATGTTGACACACACCCAAGGCCACCACTGCGCGCGCTTGCAAGGAGACGGCCATCTCCCCTCCTGTTCCTTGGCGCTCCTGGAAGCCAGTTCAGTGGGAAACCAGAAGGAGCAAATCACTTGAGCATCTTCGTATTCAGAGACGCTCTGCCAAGCTGTGTAAAAAGCCAAAAGATTGCTGAAAGTGGTGGAACCAAAGTATCACAAGCAATCACTTTTGGTCAAGGACTTTCGCGTCAGCGGCCTGAAAGAGCTCCTCCAAGGATTGCTGCGCTCTGGCAACCTTTGGAGGCTTCAAGTCTTCAAGCATCTTCGACTCCTAATTAGAGCCCCAGACTTGCCTGACCACCCCGACAGCATCTGAATTGAAGCCAACTTCTTGGGTCTTGCAATGTCTTGTGCCTTTGAGGCTCTTGAGGTGTTGAAAGGGGCTTAAAAGATCTTCCGAACGTCGGATGTCTTGATGCATGTTTGACGTCTTCTCTCCTGATCCATTTCAGAAGCTGCCAGGCCTGACCCACACGCACCGTGTAAAGCCTTGGTCGGTCTTGGTGGTTTCATTCCTTCGGAGGCACGCCGACTGCCCCCAAGCTATTGTTGCCAAAGCTCCCTCCCAGAGTCTAAAGCGAGTCAAGCATATCGAGCAGCTATCGCTGCCCTATCCTTACCACATGTTGTGAAATCCACTGCCACAGAACTCAATCAAGCTCAATGAAATTCCAAAACCAACAAATATTGACACAAAAACTGGTCCTAGTGGCACGTGACTTGCCACTTAGCTTCTCTTTGGCTACACCGGCCCCATTCTCAAAACGAGTGGCAAAGCACTCGCGACCAGCTCCCACAGCCTGCTGCAAATTGGGGTATATATATACTGTGTATATATATATATGAATATATATGATATGTCGGTGTACGTGGACAAACTGGTTGAGTCAGGCAATCTGGAAGGATTTCTGCTGCCCAGTCTATGAACCCCGAGGCTTGATTATATTTTGTTGTTGCAGTATGATGGTCCTCTCCAGTCGTGGCATGTGTACATACCGTACATACGTGAGGTCCCCTTTTGCCCACCTGGCGAGTGACTTCTCATCCAACGACCTGTTCAACGAAGTCTTCACGAAAATATGCACATTCATCTACAAATATAACATGGTCCAGTTGCAAACAAGCATTTGGGTCTGATCAATCCACCCGAGGAATGTCTAGCAATCTTCTCCAGCACAGTAACCGCTCGCTGATTCGAGCTTCGTGCGGCGGAAGAACTTCGCGTAGCGCTAGGAAAGATGGTGACCTCGGCATCTCGTGATGTCTTGTGACCATGAGAGGCACATTCGGAGTTCGCCATCTGAGTCCCGACTGCTCTTCAGCCATCAATGCAGTCACCAAGGTGCACAGGCCTGATGACTCAACAATGCACAAAGAAACACAAAACAATAACACCTACTGTAAGACCTATGACAGAAATAAAGCGAATAACGAATAAAGGTCTCTCATTGCCTTCGCAAAAGTGGGCTCACTGAATGCTCCATATCTAACGATTCTCTTTGTACATTAGGATAGTTCGCAGTGGACGATGACTCAGCGTTCGCCTATCCGGGGTGTAATGCCACTGGCCCGACATAGCCAAGCTGCCGCCTCAAATAACTTTAGAGCTGGGTGTACAACATTCATCACATCCTATTTGGAAATCCAGGCTGCTTGCATGAAATATTGGCATACAGTGTACATCCATCTGGGTCCGTAATATATCCTCCAGTACCTTCTACAACTGCTCAGGCTCACAGCATCACTGAATTAGCAGCCCGGTGCCCCGACGCCGCCCTGATTGACCAAATCCTCCAAGGCAGTGATGGACATTTGCATCTGCTGCACATCCTGTGAAGAGAAGCTGGATTGGAACTCTCCGCTCACAATATCCAACACCTGGTTATGTATATTGTTGTGGCTCATTTGTTAAACTGGCTTCATCGTGGGTGGTTCAGGGACAACTGGACAACGAATGAGCTACTCTACATCATCCAGAAAGCTCCATGCTTTGTGCCTTCGACGGCTGAAACTGGAAGATGCACATTCATTTTGACAGCTGTGAGGGGTGCAGCGGCACTTTCTCAACCAAACTAAAATTCTGCACTGCTTATTTATACCTCGCCTCTTTGTCGTGTTCATACCATCTTTCTCTCTTTCGTTCGTTTCAATCGATGCGGCAGCAAACTGCCGAGGCACTGATACAACGACAACGAACCTGTTTGAACATCTGCATCGAAGCATAGGCATAGGGGCTGCCAGCTGACCACCCTCGCTCCCACCCACCTCAAAATAATAAAGTTATTATTTTTAGGTGGGTGTACCTATCTGAGCGTAGAATTATTATGGAGGTAATATAGTTCAGAAATAATAAACCACACAGCATGATAAGATAGGGGGGGGTGGTATAGACCACTCACCTAAGTGGGTAGATATATGGGGACAGCTCCTAGGAAAGTGTGCAGTAACAGCAATCGTAGGTGGTTCAAGCGCAACCACCTACAAAATAATAATCGCGCCCTCTTTTCTGCCATTCTCTCTCGGTTTCTCTGTGGTACCGTGAACGTCTGTCCAGTCTTTTTGCCTTGATGGGGCAGCTGATCCGGGAGAATATATGGAAAATATTGAGGACAAGCAAGATCTCTGTCCAAGGCAGGTCAAACAATCGCCGTATTTCAGGGGTGGGGCTGGCCTAAGGGACCTCTGAAATAATTAGTAGATCGACTGATTGACTGGAATGTGTGGATAGCGTGATATGGTCCATAAATTATTTCAGGGGTGGGGTACCCCCTAAACGACCTGTTAAATAACAAATAAGGTGGGGGGAATGTTGCCAGTATTTGCCACTTATTCCATGGAAAATATGGAAAAGGTTGAAAACATTGAGGAGTTTAGTAGAAGGAACCAGTAAGGGGGGCAAGGCTTACCCCACAGACATCATTAATAATATTCAAGTAACTATTTATTTGGGGGGTAGATGACAGGTAGCCCACCTGCCAAATAATATTATGTTTGTGCTCGAATGGATGGATCCCAGATAAAGGTAGGCCCCCTGATAGGATGGATCCCAGCGAGAATTTGATGAGAGTGTGAAGCCGGCTGCTTTGAGCTACCAGACTTTTGGATCAGGTGTGCCTTGGCTAGTTCAAACTGATTGCAGCGCGACAAACGATGACTTGGTGGCAGAGCATAGCTGATTGATGTGGGAGTCAGACGTTCACGGTCTGACAGAGAAACCGAGAGAGAATGGCAGAAAAGAGGGCGCGATTATTTTTTGTAGGTGGTTGCGCTTGCACCACCTACGTTTGCTGTTACTGAACACTTTCCTTGGAGCTGTCCCCATATATCTGCCCACTTAGGTGGGTGGTCTATACCACCTCCCCCCCTATCTTATCATGCTGTGTGGTTTATACTTTATATCTTGATTGTCTCAGCTCTGTGGACAAGCACATCAAATTATTTTTGCTCTGGCACACGTACCCCTCCACCTGCCAAATAATTTCCAATAAACCCTGCATCATACCTTCTTCCACGGGTTATTGTTATTCTATGTCATTCAGTGCTAAAAACTATTTGGAAACCATATATCAAAATAATATTTTATTATTTTGCAACATGCCATACCATATTTTTTCTACATGGTCGATATTATTTTGACCCACCACCTACATGCCTCTCCAAATAATACTTTATTGATATTATTTCAAAAAAATATTTGGAGACGAGACGGTCACCTCAAAATAATTTCGCTCGGCAGGGGCTATATCGAAGCAATTCTTTTTTGATTGAATGTCACCATCCATCTGTGCGAGGTGCTGCCGGGCTAACGCTCCTCTTGTCGTTGTTTCTCCAGCTCTTTGGCCAATGACGATGCCTCACCCCCCAAGAGTCTTCTGGTCATGGACATCTACGGAACGTGTGCCCAAGTCCTCTAGCACATTGGTAGATCAAATCAAGCGCCTTAGTGCACCTGCACCTACCCATCTCTTTAAGAAGAAGAGCACGGGACATCATGCGACATCAATTGCACAAGTAATTCACTCAATCAATGCAGTGAGCTAGACTCTTACTTTACGATCCCCATTCTGCAAGGCCTGCGAGATGGAGCGCAATGTGGATGTTGGTGGAGGCCTCAGGTTGATCTTGAGTGTTGAGATACGACTCCGCGAAACAACCTGGAAATGATTGTCACTAAGAGATTGAGATCCGCTGATCTATGCAAAATAACACCAGCGTCCACTTTGTTTCACGCCGCGTGGCTCACGTGATGCCTGCTCCAACTCTTGCAAAAGACGGTCCTCAAGGAAAATGGCGACTGGGACTGACATGACACAAGATCTCACTGAAACCTTCGTTGAGGATGCTTGCATGCGGGTAGAAAAGAGTAGTGCAAGTCCATAGTAGGTAAGCTAGGAATAGGTCAACAGGTGACACGAGACTTCAATGTTCAAAGTTCAAACATCACCTCTGAAACTGAGGTGCGGCATTTTGAAGAGCTATAAGTTATAAGGTATAAACAACAGCCGCAAGGCCACAGCCACATTGACGACTCCTAAAATCTATGCTCACTTTCTTGGGGTGAACTCATGCTCAAGTCTCAGATTTCCACCAAGGTGGCTTGTCCTGCAGCCTCCGGCACTCAGACTCAACTGCTGAATCGGTGTTTCAACATGCTCTGCAATTTTGCCCAGCCTTGGTACTCTGCAATGAGCGCAAGGCCTTACAATCTGAGAAAGTGCTCAAATGCAGGGGATACAACCACATGAATTGCGGTGGTATTCGTTCTGGAGCACTGGAGCACCCATGCCAACATCACAAACAATGTCTGTTTCAAATCACGGGGGTCCTTGGTTCCTCCTTTCATGCACTTACAACTTGCACGCCACACCAGTTTCATTGACTTCGAAAAACGCACGAGCTGCATGGCAAAGTAGTGTCTACGTAAACCACCATCGCTTCTCTAATTAGAGTGATGCCACAAGCCAGCAGCAAGCAAAGTAAGCAAAGGCATGCAACTCCAAGATGCAGCACACGCACAAATATTCCTATAATGGTCCTCATTCATTCTGCCTGCCTTTCTTGCGTCTTTGCCTGGGGCACCAGCTTTGCACACCGCCAGCCCTCCCGGCCCTGGCAAGGGTAGGCTCCAGCACTCAGCTTTGATCAGTAGTCGTAATTGAGTTGCAATTGCTTGTCTTTTCACCTATTTCGCTTTGTGTCACTATCCTCTGCCGCTCGAATTGAACTAATCATCGAGAATCTGCAATCTCCATCTGCACAAAGGGCCAGCTTTGCAAACCAACCTTCTCGTCCAGCACACGGGTCCAAACGTATTGTACTGTAGGTACAAAGGTTCCATGATTTCACAATCATCCACCCAGAATGCGAACTCCAGTTCAATCTGTGAGAATGTGATGGGCACCGTAGACTCATGGATCAAACACTCAGAACCCTGCCTAGGCCAGCTTTCCCAGGCTCCTGGCAAGGTCTTCCAAATGACTCATCTGCTGGCAAAGTGGTGAGCTAGGTTGATGCTTGCTTGCAAACTCTATGTCCAAGAATGCGCACCTGCTGAATGAACTTGGCAGCAAGCTGCTTCAAGGGCTTGCTCGCAAAGTCGGCGCTCAAGTGGGCGCCTCTTTCAATATCCCACATATTCGTTAACAAGACTCATGTTGACAACATCCTGGTCACATCAGTCCGCTGCCCGGGTGCAGCTAGGCCATTTTACAGTTAGATCGACTGGACATAGTGAGACCCTCCCTCTGTCCACTACCTTGACCAGGACATTAGCATAATATATAATTCCATGAGATGTGTTGTGTCACACCTGCCTAAGATACGTGATTGGCAACGCACATCTTGCGTCAAGGGCGGTGCCTAGGACTGAGCGAGCGGATCGGGATTGGAGCGATCCAAATCGCCAAGGATTCTGAGACGCAAGTATAGTATATACTCTAGGAGCTTAGTAATCTTCCTTGAAAACATCGAACCAGCCTTTTGATATCTTTTGATTGGCAAATCTTGGACGTTGCTGTGCCGGCATCCCTTTGAGGGTATCTCTGATGGCCGACTGGGTGGTCTGCAAGAGCGTCCGAATGAACGGCACAATAGTATGCGAAAATGACCTATGCCTATGCATATATGGTTTGGGTCTTCAAATCAGAACAGGCATGGCATGCTGAGAGCTGGTAGAATGCTGGAACTGAGGCGCCGTACCCACCAGAACATTCCTTTGGCGTCTTCTACTGTCACGACCACCACCTGCTGCATTGCTGTGAGGGGGGGTGGGCCCTACTCTCCCATCCACTAAGTATACTCACCTGGCTATGTGGAAGAAAGTGAAACATAGCTGATGTACTGCAGTTCCTCTGTCCAGAACTGAAACAGGCTGCACCTTTGCAGGTTCAATGGCCGGCGGGTGTGCGCTTGGCCAGGTCAACGACCTTTCAGAATGGCCAGCGGACAAAACAAGTGCCCAGCCCATCGAAACCATACAAAGTGGCAAGTAGCAATGAGTAACTCAGTGAGCAACTTAGTCTGTGTATATAATTTCTTTGTTTCACTATATTATATGTTAGCTTGGGGATGCTTCTGCTACCTCATTTCCTGATCGCAAAAGCGCCTTGCAATCTTTGGACATTTGAGTGGCCGAATGCGGCAAAGACAGTGTGAGAGCTTTGCTCATGCCACTGGCAATGACAATAACTGTCAAGTGAAACGGTGGTCTCTGCAACACTCTCGCCCTTGAGCTATTCCAAGTGCAGCAAAGACCATTTCGCACTTGCAACATACAGGAAAAGCAATAGTTTCCTCTCGTATTCTTCCTTCATACGGTCTCGCTGTGCCCATACTTATGATCAGCCCTCGAGGAACTATGAGGTTCCAAAAAGCAAGAAGCAAAGCTGGCCTGAAAATTTTGATACTTTCTTTGGAAGCTCGCTCGGATAAAGGCTTTGAACCCAATCTCTCACTCGCCACCAGGTATTGCAATGGCCGCCATGTGGTTGCGCCCGGTGCTGAGCATCAGAACCTGCTGACCTGGCGCTGGCCAGGCCAAGTGAGAAGTCCACAGAACCTACCCCTTTCCAGGTCTCGCACAGAGTGTCTTCTTGTAATTGTCAGACCAGCTGCATTACTAGTCTTCCACATGGCATTGAGAGGCCAAATGATCCTTCAAGTGATTCACGTGTTGATGCTTATTATATGATTCTATGATCTACTGTATGATCTTATATGATTTCAAGGATCAAAGTGAATCAATCAAAGTGCACTTTGTTGCGACCGGGTGAACGGGTGCGAACGGTATATTCCATTATGTATACACTCTTATACTGTAAATATATATATATATTCCGCCGCATTCCCGTTCGTCCTGTCCCCGAGATCCCTTGTGCACCCAGTGTGCTCCGCTGCCTTGCAGGCTGGGATGCTTCCAGTAGAGTGGACGGGCCAAGCCTGGGCACCAAGCCATGAAAGTCAAGAATGCCAAGCCAAGGACCTCTTTGCTCACAGATCCAGAATCTGAACCCCGGAACCGATGCGATGCGGCCCCATCATGTAGCACTTCATCATGTCGACCTCAGGAGGCTTTCCTCAGTCATTTTGGCAAAATGCAAGTCCCCGGAAAACACGATTGCATTCTGAGAGAAGCATTGGCTCACAAAGCTCCGTATGCGCAGCCTCATGGACAAGTGTGGTGAAGTGCCTCTTTGAATGCCCTTTTCTAAGGCAAGCATGGTTTGGGGCTCTGTGCTTGAGTCGAGGTCCTTAAAATGAATGCACATCACATCGTGATAGGCCCAGGCTCCTTCGCCCTTCTTGTTCAAAAAGCGCTCCACACCGCACCGCCCATCATTACTTCCACAGCCCCAAGCCTCGCGGCAAAGGCTTCACATGTGGGCGTCAACGTTTGACAGAACAACTCCAATTAGGGTCTTTGTTCAAATTCAAGAAGAATGCGGGTAACAAAAAGCCACTAGGGGCTCCTGGCCATACTACTAGGAGCAAGGGCTCCTGGCCTCAATACTAGTACTAAGAAGCTACTAGTAGCAAATAAATGCGGCAATTGTGCCAAAGTCTTGGACAAGTCGCCCAAGCTTTTCCATCAGCACCTCAGAGCAACAGTCTTCGCTGATTAGATCAGTGACTCAACTGGCTGGCCCGTGTGAAGGGGTCTTGGTCTTGGTCATGATTTCCCACACGTTCATGTTTTAGACTGTTTTAGTCGACTTCATGGTTACGTTTCCACAGCTTGGACGAATATCACCAGGCCGCAAAGTACTGCGCAATGGATATGCGCCGACACCGCAGCCACCGCGGGGCCCACAGCATCATAGGGCGGCGCTAGGCCCAGTGGTGACAGGGGACCATCAGCTGCATTGCGCAAGGGGCCACCCACACGATACGGCCGAAACTCGTCCCAGGGCCTTGCATCAACACGGAGAAAACCACATCAAACAAAGTTGTTTGCCTTGTTTATATAGCCCCTGCCTTAGGGAGGCCCCCCCCCTGACACCCCTGCTCAATTAATTAGTCTATTAATTAGGGGGGGTAGGCTAATTAATTGACCCCTTGTAATGGGTGCTGATTAATAATAAAGGAAATGTAAACGAAAATTAAACGACCATGTGTGCATAATTTAGGTACCTGGGATGAATTTTTGTGCCTTGTAAATCTCTGCAAGAAAAGTGCAACGACAAAGAGCAAACACAAATCAAGGATCTGTTGACAACTGACCCACCGCCCAAGTAAAAACACAGCGCGTGTACGTTTGTTTCTGTTTTTCCACGCCCTATCACGCCCTCGCCCCTTCAAGGAGTCTCTGTGTCGATCCGTTCATTTGAAATCATATTGAATGATAGGTGTGTCAGGTCTGAATGACTAGTTGTTTTATAGACTTTTTTCAAGCACATCTCACCAAATCTGAATACCACAGATTTACAACTTCTTATATATGTCAATTATTTTTGGGTGTTCTGCAAGGCCCCCCTCCAGCAGCAAATGTTAACTTAGGTAATTCCAGAAATGTAATTCTGGACTGAGTAGGGGACCTGAATTAACTTTCTAGCGCTGGGGCTATTTGTTGTTTATGCTAGTCAACATTGTAACAGGTGATGATCAACAATCATAACACTGACCTAAACAGAAAACACACAACAGGCTTGCCACCCCCTTTCATTTCAGGCGGCCTTCCAAATGCACCATCTTTGGCACCGAGATTGCACAGTAAGCCTTTGTGGCAAGTGCCCATTGTATATAAGGCACCTCAAGTCTGAGGGTCAGACCGAGGCTCGGAATCTATCGAACGGGCCGCCAATCTTCCTTACTCCCGTTAGGTTGGAGGCCATCGCTTAGTAGGTCTGTCTTTCTCTCTCTCTCTTGCTCTTGCTCGCTCCAGAGTTTAGCTGCTGCATCTGTCTCCTCTTTCATCCTCTTTCTGCCTCCCCCTCTCTCTGACACTAGCTTGGGAACCATTACAGTGGCAATTAATGGTCACAGGTCAGTGGGCCAAAAGCCCTTCTGTATGCATCATGGTTTGCCCAGCTCCGAAAAAATTCAAGGCGCCAGAGACTGCGACCAGCACAGTGTGTGGGCCTCATCTTCAAAACGTTGCTAGCTGCAAAGGGTGGTCCAGAATAGGTTCTGTGAAGCGATGCCTATAATCAGCATGTCAAAACATGTTGGCAATATCGAGATATAGTCCGTAGACCGTATAACAAGATGGAACCCACGAACCCAAATGCAAACACGTTCCATATGCCCAAATGACACTCTTGCAGGACACTCTTGTGAGTCAATCTTACGGGGCACTTTTGTAGGACACTCTTGTGGGACACTCTTAAAGGACACTTTTGCAGGTCACTCTTATGGGACAATCTCTTGTGGGACACTCTTGTAGGACACTCTTGTGGGTCACTCTTACACGACACTCTTGTAGGACACTTCTTGTGGGACACTCTTATAGGACACTCTTGTGGGTCACTCTTATGGGACACTCTTGTAGGACATTCTTGTGGGACACTCTTGTGAGACACTCTTGTAGGACACTCTTGTGGGTCACTCTTACAGGACACTCTTGTGGGACACTCTTGTAGGACACTCTTGTAGGACACTCTTGTGGGACACTCTTGTAGGAAACTCTTGTTGGACACTCTTGTAGGACACTCTTGTGGGACACTCTTATAGGACACTCTTGTAGGACACTCTTGTGGGTCACTCTTGTGGAACACTCTTACAGGACACTCTTGTGGGACACTCTTACGGGACACTCCTGTGGGTCACTCTTACACGACACTCTTGTAGGACACTCTTGTAAGACACTCTTTCTTGTAGGACACTCTTGTGTGACACTCTTGTAGGAAACTCTTGTGGGGCACTCTTGTAGGACATTCTTGTGGGACACTCTTACAGGACACTCTTGTGGGACCCTCTTGTGGGACACTCTTGTAGGACACTCTTGTAGGACACTCTTGTGGGTCACTCTTGTAGGAAACTCTTGTGGAACACTCTTACAGGACACTCCTGTGGGCCACTCTTACGGGACACTCTTGTAGGACACTCTTGTGGGACACTCTTATAGGACACTCTTGGGGGTCACTCTTATGGGACACTCTTGTGAGACACTCTTGTAGGACACTCTTGTGGGTCACTTGCCGGGCACTCTTGTGGGACACTCTTGTGGGACACTCTTGTACGACACTCTTGTAGGACACTCTTGCGGGACACACTTGTGGGACACTCTTGTGGGACACTCTTGTAGGAAACTCTTGTGGGACACTCTTGTAGGACACTCTTGTGGGACACTCTTATCTCTTGTGAGACACTCTTGTGGGACACTCTTGTAGGGCACTCTTGTGGGACACTCTTGTAGGACACTCTTGTGATCTCTTGTGGGACACTCTTATAGCTTGTGGGACACTCTCAAGGGACACTCTTGTGAGACACTCTTGTGGGACACGGTTGCGGGACACTCTTGTGGGACACTCTGCGGGACACTCTTGTGGGACACTCTACGCTTCGAGGCTGCAAAACGAGCGTTTCGTACGAGACTTCCTCCAAATGTCACACGTCAAGTCTCCAAAACGAGCGTTTCGTACGAGACTTCCTCCAAAAGTCACACGTCAAGTCTCCAAAACGAGCGTTTCGTACGAGACTTCCTCCAAAAGTCACATGTCAAGTCCCCAAAACGAGCGTTTCGTACGAGACTTCCTCAAAAACTCACACGTCAAAGTCTGCAAAACGAACGTTTCGCGCGAGACTTCCTCCAAAAGTCAACCGGAAACACCCATCGGAGCACACACATCACGCAGCCCTGCCAAGCAGTTTCGCGATTCCAGCCCCTCCAAACCACACCCGCTCACACGCCAATCCCAATGTGACAGCGGCATCCACCTCTACCACAACTCACAACCTCACGATTCCCTGCCTGCCACGAATCTTTCCGCGTCCACACGTCTAAGGCACACAAAGTACTGCGCCTGCCACGAAATGTCAGCTCCGTCACACCTCGCAACCTCACGATTCCCTGCGCCTGCCACGAAAATCGCACTTCCACACCTAAAAGCCGTACAAAGTACTGCGCCCGCCACGAAAAGTGACAATATCATCTCATGTGAGCTTCAACAAAATTTGCACCACACCACACGTTTGGAATGATTTCGACCCGTTCTGAGAACACTCCCATCCACCAAAATCGCCATTTCAGCTGAGACTTCTCACGGAAACAGAGCTTCGATGCCACACCCTGACACGCAAATCCCAATGGCACGGCCACATCCAACACCCCAAAAACACGACTCTCCAAACGCTAATCCCAATGGAACTGCGCAGCAAAGTGCAGATCTGGCACAACGCTGCGCCTGTGCAGTGAAATCATCCTCCTCGCTTCAACATCTTACATTTCCACACGATTCCTCGCTATTTCACACGAATCTGACACGTCACGTTTTCATCCGAAACCCTCTCCAAAAGCTTCCCCCAATGGCAGCGCCTTAGCGCTCTACTGCGAACGGTTGCGAACTTAGAAACAACGGGTCGCGAACCCTTCGCTACGCATTCGGGAAAAAACGTTCATATGGTAAGGCCAGAATCCTTGATTAAACAAGATGGAGCCCACGAACCCGAATGCAAACACGTTCAAAAAGCTACATATGTCCAAATGACACTCTTGTAGGACATTCTTGTGGGACACTCTTGTGAGACACTCTTGTAGGACACTCTTGTGGGTCACTCTTACAGGACACTCTTGTGGGACACTCTTGTAGGACACTCTTGTAGGACACTCTTGTGGGACACTCTAGTAGGAAAATCTTGTGGGACACTCTTGTGGGACACTCTTGTGGGATACTCTTGCAGGACACTTTTGTGGGACACTCTTGTGGGACACTATTGTGGGACACTCCTGTAGGACACTCTTGTGGGATACTTGTGGGACACTCTTGTGGGACACACTCTTGTGGGACACTGTTGCGGGACACTCTTGTGGGGCACTCTTAAGGGACACTCTTGTGAGACACTCTTGCGGGACACTCTTGCGGGACACTCTTGTGGGACACTCCTGTGGGACACTCATTTGGGACACTCTTGCGGGACACTCTTGTGGGACACTCTTGTGGGACACTCTTAAGGGACACTCTTGTGAGACACTCTTGCGGGACACTGTTGCGGGACACTCTTGTGGGACACTCCTGTGGGACACTCATTTGGGACACTCTTGCGGGACACTCTTGTGGGACACTCTT